CTGAGAGGGCAAAGTTGTTAGAGAGACAACGGGGGAAAAATATTCCAAGGGGCAGCAGCTGGCCTCAATCAGCCGCACGATTGCCATGATGCACTTATTTTGGAATTGTCATGGTCTTGGGTCGGACACGGTGGTTCAGGCTCTACATGCTCATTAGAAAATATTGACCCTCTATGATCTTTCTGTCGGAAACTAAGATGAAAGATCATAGGATAGATGGTGTTCGTAGAAGAATGGATTTTTCTAGTGGGTTTAATGTTCCTCCTATAGGTAGGGCTGGTGGTCTTACCCTTTGGTGGACTGATTCTCTACAAGTTAATATCTTGTTTTCTTCTAAACATGTCATTGATGCCACTATTCAGGGTTTTGGAGATGATAGATGGGTATGGGTGATTGGTATCTATGGTACCTCTTATAGAGAGTAGAAGGCATGTCTTTAGGAATGGATGAAATCTCAGTTTCAGCCTACGGATATTCTGTGGCTTTGTGGTGGTGATTTCAATGAATTTATGTAGGAGTTAACAAATCAAGAGAGGCAGTGTTTCTTTATAATAGGCCCTGATACATGGCCAACTTTATGGAAGCAACGGCGCTCATGGATTTAGATTTTAGTGGACCACCATGTACATGGCGGGGCATTCGCAATGAGGAGTTGGTGGAAGAACAAATTAACAAAGGGCTTTGTAATCTTCCATGGTTGGATCGGTGGCCTATTACTGCTATTATTCATGCTTCGGTTGTGGCATTAGATCATTCCCCGTTTTTTTATTCGGTGTCAGCTGCATTCATAAAAGGTAAGAAAAGATTTCGATTTGAAGCGTTTTGGGCTAAAGAAGAAGATTGTTGGTGTCTTATTGAAACTTGCTGGCATAGTGCATACCATGGTGATCCAATGCAGCTTTGGCAGGCAAGGCTTAATGATTGTAGATCTCGACTTCTAAAGTGGAGTAAAGGAAAATTCAATAGGCGTATTGAAGAGATTAATGACTTGTTGATCAACTTCCAAGAATTGCAAATGAATTGGGGGCAAAATGCTAAGGAAATCAAAGACAAGACTATTCTTCTTGACAGACTTCGGCAACATGATGAGTTTTTTTTGGCAACAACGATCTAGGGTTAAATGGCTTCGGGAAGGTGATGCTAACATTACTTTTTTTCATCAATCTACATTGCAACGCAAACGGAGTTGAGATGATAAAGCGAGATGATGGAGAGTGGGAGCAACATTCAAAATGTGCGCAACAATTGTTTAATGAGTATTTTATTAAGTTATTTACTTCGTTTGGCTAGCGGGATTGGGTGCATGTTTTGGAGTGTGTTACTCCAATAGTCACTAAAAGGATGAATTAGGCGTTGATGATGCCTATTCTAGATGATGAAATTAAAGATGCTGCTCGGCAACTGGGAGGTTTAAAGGTCCCGGGTCCAGATGGCTTTTCAGGTGTTTTTTATCATTCTTTTTGGGATAAAATTTGCACTGAGGTTACTGAGCTTGTTCGTTTTTTTATGACTGGTGAGGTATATCCTATGCAACTTAATGAGACACATATTGTCTTAATTCTGAAAGTTCAGAACCCAGAGATGGTTTCTCAATTCAGGCCTATTAGTCTGTGTAATTTTTCCTACAAAGTTCTTTCTAAAGTTTTGACTAATAAACTGAAGCCTTTCCTTCCTAGTCTTATTTCTCTTATGTAGAATGCGTTTGTTAGGGGAAGGCAAATCCAAGACAACCTTGGGATTGTGCATGAGCTTTTCCATTTCCTTAAGCTGCAGAAAGCCAAATGTAAGTTCGAACTTGGTCTCAAGCTCAATATGCAGAAAGCTTATAATCTGGTTGAATGTGACTTTTTGGATGCGGTCATTGCCAAGATAGGGTTTCATTTAGGTTAACAGAAGCTTATTATGGGATGTGTGAGCACTGTTAATTTTGATGTGGTCCTTAATGGACAACCTGGGTCTAAGTTTGCTCCTTCCCGATGTTTAAGGCAAGGTGACCCGCTTTCCCCATATTTATTTCTTTTTGTTAATGATGTTATCTCTAAGATGATTTTTCGAGCTACTGATTCTAAACAATTGCAGGGGTAATGATGAGCGCCCACGGCCCGTCCATATCCCATCTTTTCTTTGCTGATGACACCTTGATTGTTTTTAAAGCGGATATGGTAAATTGTAGAAATTTGGGTAGTTAAGTTTAGTCTTATTGCTTTGCCTCGAGCTAGGCAATGAATATTCAGAAATTGTGTGTCTTTTTTAGTGCCAATACCCCTCGAGCTCTTGCCACGGAGTTGGGTAATGTTCTCGATATTCTGCTGGTTTCTGATCCTGGGAGTTATTTGGGGATTCCAGCTTTATGGGGCCAGTCTAAATGTAGTGGTCTTGCCTATGTGAAAGGTCGGTTGTTGGGCAAACTTCAAGGGTGGAAGCGGTGTACATTATCTCCGACTGGCAGAGAGGTTCTGATTAAGGCTGTTGCTCAAGCTCTCCCCCAGTACTCGATGCATCTTTTTAAGTTCCTGAATACCATTTGTCACGAACTCGACTCTCTGATTGCTACATTCTAGTGGGGTTAAAAACATGGTGAACAGAAAATTCACTGGGTTTCAAAGCAGGTATTGGGACTTCCAAAAAAGGACGGTGGTCTAGGTTTTCGGAACTTCAGAACCTTTAATGATGCTCTTCTTGCTAAGCAATGTAGGAGATTGATTTCTGAACCTCATTCACTTTGGGCTTCGATTCTTAAGGCCCAGTATTTCCCACATTGTTCTTTTCTTAATGTTCAGCGTGGTAGCCGTACTTCTTGGGCTTGGACAAGCTTATTAGTGGGTCGTGATGTTCTCTTGAAAGGGGCGCATTGGCAAATCATGGATAGGAAGATTGTTAGGCTTTGGGTTGATAAATGGCTTCCGTCTCTCCTTTCCGGCCATTCTATTCATGTTGGTACGACGTTAGTTACTCGGCATACCCGCGTAGCCACCATTATTAGTTCTTCCTCTCGTACTTGGGATCTTCATTCCCTCCAGCCTTTTTTTTATCCGAGGAGGCTATTCTTGCTATGTGTGCCACATATATTGGTGAGCTAGGGAGAGATGATCGGCATATTTGGCCGGCAACTAAGAATGGTCGGTACTCGGTGAAAGTTGAATACAACTGGCTGCAATCTCGTTATCGCCACCAGTCTTTGTTTCCTTCTACTTCATCCACTGGTCTTACTAGCCAAATTTGGAAATTAATCTGGCAGCTGCATACCAAAGATTCGACTTTTTCTTTGGCGAACTCTTCATGGTGCTTTGGATACGATTGAGGCTTTGTTTAAGCGTCGTTCCGCTATTTTCTTTTTCCAATCTGCCTGTTGGTTCTCGTGATGACCGTATGTATTTGTTATCATATGTTGCTTTCACCTGTTGGCACATTTGGAAAGTTAGGTGTAAATTCTTGTATGAACAAAGTTCTATTAATCCTTCCAAGGTGCTATGTGATATAAATACATCAATTGGAGCTTTCTTTGCAGTTGTTTGGAGGCCTTCACGTGGCCATGAAACTATGTTGCTCTATGATAGACTATCTACTTGGTTCCCTCATTCCGAGCCTTATTTAAAAGTAAATGTTGATGCTAGTTGGTCGGCTCAGACTTGCTCCGGTTTTGTGGGGATTGTGATTCGGGATATGGCAGGTTCTTTTGTGGCCACCAGAAGGCATGCCATTCGCGCTCCTTCGGTGGGCGCTGCTGAAGCCGTGGAAATTCTCAAAAGATGCGAATTTGGGCTAGCAATGGGACTTACGTAGGTTGTTGTTGAATCTAATTCTCACGACTCTATTACTTCTCTGTCGACTTCGATTGAGAATGGCAGCTGGGAGGCTTACCATGCTTTATTGCATGCTAAACGGTTAGGGGAGTCTTTTCAGGACTGTCGCTAGTCTTGGATTCCACGATCAGCCAACATGGCGGTGGACTTCTTGGCATCACAGCGGTGTGTAGAGATGTGCGAGGTTTCTTGGTTAATAAACCCCCATCTTCGTTAGTTTTTGTACTTCACAATGATGGTTTACCCTGTCCTCCTTGATGGATTATGGGCAGTGAAGGGAGTGAAGGGAGTGACGGAGTAGTGTGGCTATGATGTCTTCCTTGTGTCTTCCTCTGTTATCTGGGTTATCTTTTGATATGCTGTTTGCTTGCCTCGCGGTAGGCTTTCTTTGTATGTATGGCTTCTTAGCCTGGTAATTTATTCCCATTTTCAAAAAACAAAAAAACAAAAAAAACAAAATGTTACTATAATTCAAGAAAAGAAGAAACTAGTTAAAGCTAGTTTCACATGATTTTTCATAAGTTTTCCATTTCTAGCTTGTTCATTGTGTAAGTTTTGGGAAAATGGGTCACTAATTGACATCCACAATGAAAACCCTCAGCGACATTATAATTAGCATTTTAACTCCACTTTTGTGCGCATAAGAGCAATTCCACCCATGGAGCCCTTCCCCCTGGCAATCCACTATTCAATCCACCCTATTAAATAGTAACTACCTTAAATGAATAGTAACTACCATTAATGAACATTAATTGCCATTTACATCTCCACCCTTGGAACCCTCCCCCCTGGCAATAAGCAATTAAAATAATAGTTTTTTTTGTTTGTTTAAATAATAAAAAACCCTCTCTCTCTCTCTCTCTGACACAAAAAAAATAAAAAATTGCAAAGCCCTCAGACCACAGGCCCGTCGACTCCTCACCCCCCTTCGCTCGGGCTCCCACCCTCACTCGGGCCCTTCCCCGCTGGAGCTGCTCCCACCGGCCCTCAGGCCCTTTCTCCTCCCCTGTCGCCCGAGCAACCAGCATCCGCTGGAGTTGCTCTAAGAGAACTAAAATCAAAGTCACGCATGGCTACGTAACACGTATAGGAAATGGGATGGCTTCTTTTGAATTGCACATCCATCACATCAGATTAATGTCCTGGTATCAAAATCGAGTGAAAATCCTGAAGTGTCCCAAATCACGTCACCTACGCTCGATCGAATCCGAATTGAATAAATTGCCATAAATTTTCCTCTTGGGGCAATGTGCACCAGATTGTGCAACAATAAATGACCCCCTAGTACCTCATTATAAATAGATCCTATAATTTCCTGCATAATCTCATCTCATACATCTTTCTCAAAAGCGGATCCCCAGCCTGAGCCTCAGCCTCAGCCTTTACATCCTGTGGAATTTGATCTCATACAATCTCTATAGTTTTTACCTCATCAAACAGTCTCTCAATTTCAGGCCTCAGCTAGCCTCACCAACTCCCCAAGTAGTAATAATGGAGTGCTGCTACAAATCTGTTGTAATATTGCTGCTTCTTTTCCTTTCATTTCTCAAACTTGCTTCCAGCCTTTTCCCTTAATTACCCATGTATGGTTATATGATCACGACTTCCTGGCTACTCAAATGACCACATGGAATCATGAAATCATCTCAAATGGCCACAGAGGACCCTAATCGACAGTCAACGTCATCATCTCAACGCTTTCCTCTTCCTCCTCCAGCAAACCTCACCCAACTACCCTCTGTTACTGCTGGAACATCAAACCCAAACAACCCTGCGCCAGGTTTGACTCAAAGCCAGACACCACCATTTTTGTTTAATCCCAACCTCCAGGTTGCTGGTCATTCTCATTCATCTATCATCATACCCCCAAGGCAACAAGACCAAGTGATCATAAATAATAATAATGGGAGTGCACCACCACAAAATCCACCTCTTCTAATCCAGTACGTGTGGCGACGTCGAAGAGAAAATGCACAACCCAACAATTATCAAAATCCATGGCTCATTCGTACTAACCAATCTGGCCAAGATGTCATTGATATGGGTAGTGACTTTGAAGACGGTAGTAGCAATGGCGAGGACATCGATTTCAGTTTCGGCCTGCAATAAGATGAAGGGAAGTATCACATATGGTTATGGTGATGTACTTGTTGGAATATAATTATGATAACATGGTTTTCACAATATGTGTAATCATATATGAAGGTATATCATAACATTGATGTGCTAATATACATATGATTGTATGGTTTTCACAATATGTGTAATCATATGTGAAGGTATACCATAACATTGATGTGCTAATATACATATGATTGTAGTGAAATAAGTTAATTAATTAATAAAGAAAATAATATAATATAATATAATATAATATAATTAATTAATTAATTAAAGGATATGAACAGCTATATTCCAACTTGAGAACTTATAACTTCTCCTGAAGAACACAACTTCTCCAGAAAGGTTACTTGCATAACTATATATTTGTCAATCCTTTTCTGTCAGAAAAGACATTCAATTCTATATTCACTCTGTTCATATCCTTTTCATATCCTTTACACCATATTGTGATCGATAGTCTAACAACATCCGTTTCCGATCCTGTTAATAAACAATTACCAACAGTGGTATCAGAGCTAGGTTTTCATGAATCAAGACAATTTGCCCAGTTTTCATCCGAGGACGTCTCGAACAAAATCTGAGACTTCCTCTCCGTCAAGTAATGAATCCAACAACGTTCTTTCTAAGTTTCAACTTGAGAAGCATTTAGGGAAGAGGACGTTGGTGAACAAGGAGAATATTGAACCGATTTTGATCGAAAGTTCGAAATCGTCATCGGAGTATTTTCCTATAGAATCCAAAACTCACAAAAATACCCAATCGTTCGAAATCCCATCCTATAACCTGTTTAAACCCAGGCCTGTATTAACCCAACAGTTCGAACTATATTCTCCTACACCATCCAACAATTATCATAATTCAGAAAGTTTTTACAGTCCAATTAGGCCCTCAGACAACCCATTTCAATCAGGATTTCTGGCTGCAAAAACTGAATCTGCACCAGAAATTGAAACTACAAGTGCTGATCCATTTCCTACATTTTGGTCATCAAGTCCAAGGGATTTACCTGCACCATCAAGTTTGTTTCAAAGTTGCTCTTAGATTACTGCAAATCTGAATTCGAACTCGCAACTTTCGGCTTGAAAAATAAACCCTTCACGCCCTAGCCTTCCACCGTGGACTCACCGCAGAATCTCATCGACTCATAATACTCAGCAGTGTGGTCGTGTTCTTCCCCCGTGGTCTCGTCGTTCATCCGTGGTCTCGTCCTCTCGTGATAATATACAACACCAACCGCATCGATATCCTCCAAGAAAAATAATCTCTGCTGTTCGGATTATCCGCCGGGTTACGGAACGAAGAAGAAAGAAGAAACTGGTTTTTCCCAGAGAAAGTGTTTTGGAAATAAAGAAGAAGAAGACTACTTTAAAAATAAAAAAGAATTTGTTTTTGGGGAGGCTTCACGTGGGGATCAGGCTAAAGTTAAAAACATTTTTTATTCATTGCACTTTGATAGTGCATGTGACAAGGCATCACGTGTGGACAAGACAAAAGCCAACATTTGTTTTGGTTCATGGACTCTGTGGACAAGGATTGTCTGCCCTCCTAGTTGTGGTGCCCTTTCATGCCCTCATATTTTGTGCGGCCACGGTTAAGCCACGTTAATATTTTATATTTTTATTGTTTTTTGTCTTATTATCTCATTAAAAAATTAATATAAAATGTTGACGTGGCTTAACCGTGACCGCACAAAATAGGAGAGCATGGAAGGGCACCACAACTAGGAGGGCAGACAATCCTTGTCCTTGGTTCATTGCACTCTGACAGTGCATGTGAAAAATCAAGGGTTTCACGTGGAGAAGCAACTAAAGATAGCAGATTTTTTGGTTCTAAGCAAAGTCAAATCGACAGAAACTTTGAAATGGGCTCCTCCTCTAGGCAAAATACGGGACAGCTGCAATTGGAGCCATTTCCTACTCATTTGGGTGTTACGATTGAACCAAATTCAGGTTTTATTAATCCCGTTTACTCTAATAATGTCACTCATAGAGTTGATTTGTGGAATAATTTGAATAATAGTGACAAAGATCAAAAGTGGAAGCAAGGGTTTAATTTTCGGAATTCTAGAGTCAAAGTGCTTAATTTTTTGGATCAACATAATACCCATTACGGTTTTATATATCCTGATTTGGCACAAAGAGAAATTTCGACTGCAAGAAATATAAGGGGGCCAAGATCACTGAGAATTGAAAGAGAATCCAGTAGTCGAGAAGAGACTGCTTTTGTGTACGAAAATAGAGGAAGAATTGATCACACTTGGCCAATTAGACAAGTAAGAAATCCACGAGCCTCCTATCGACGTGATCGCCTGAACAAGTACTCATCTTTCACTAATTGGACAAAGCCTCAGTGAGTCTGTGCGGTATCTGCTGCTAAGAATAAATAAGTCTCTATTCTATTTTATTTTATTTTGTTTTTTTTTTGGTCTTTAATTTATTAAGAACATATAGTATTTGTGGCTTGTAATAATTAAAAGTACACTAGTAGTATTTGTATTTGTATTTAAGTTTGTATTAAGTATTGTGTTTGTTTTGTAATTTTCTGAGCTACGGCAACTAAATCTTCCAAATCCAAAGTTTTTAAAATAGAGAGGTTGAATAATGTTAATTATCGAATATGGAAGATAATGATTACTTATCTTTTAACCCATGACAAGACTTTGTATACTATCAAGGACGAGAGACCCCTTGGGCCCTCTCGAGTTTATAATAAATGGGTGGAAGATAATGAATTGGCTAAGGCCACAATCCTCAATTACATGGAAGATAAATTAATACCTCTCTATGAAGAATATGATTCGGCCAAAGAAATCATGGATGTACTTGAAAAGAAGTATGGCCCTAAATCTCAAACATACATTCAGTTATTGCTTGAGAAATACAATGGGACAAAAATGGAGGAAACTGATTCTATGGTTGATCATATTACTAAAATGGAAGTAATGGCAAAAGACTTAGCCAATGCTGGCCATCCAGTTTCTGATAAAATGCAAGTTAGTGTTCTTCTTGGTAGCCTCCCAAATTCTTGGGAAAATGTAGTTACTTCCTTGACTTATGGTCAAGTTGAATTAACGATGGATACATTGCCTGCAATGTTGGCTATTGAAGATGTTCGTAAAAATTATAGGAAAAAGGAAACTGGACAAGGCAGAGCCAACCTCCTCATAGTAGAATATTCTCATAAAAACAAGCAACACATGCACAAGCCACATAGTAGTAACAAGCGCCCGAACTTTAAAAAGTTTGGACACCGCAAGCAGAACAAGTTTAAAGGAAAGGAGAGTACATGTTACAATTGTGGAGAGACTGGTCATTATAGGTATAAGTGCCCAAAACGACGCAAAAACAACAAAAATCCTAAAGAACTAATTTTGACTGTCTCTGAAGCACTCATTGCTGAAGATCAAGGACAATGGTGGATAGATTCAGGAGCAACTCGTCATGTAAGTAAGGACAAAAGTTGTTTCATCAATTTCAAGGAGAAAGCACTAGGAGAACATCGTCTCTACATGGGCAACAATACTTATGTCGATGTTTTAGGTGAAGGAGATTGCAAAATCAACAATAGTAAATCTACCATTGTACTTAAAAATGTTCTGTTTGCACCAAATATAAGAAGGAATCTTGTCTCTGTTTCTATCCTAGAAAAGAAAGGTTTTGAGACAAGGTTCATGAATGGTGCTGTCACTATTGGGAAAAAGGGTTATATTTATGTAAGGGGAATAAGAGTCGATGATATGTACTCAGTTTGTATTAATAAAAGTATTTCTTCCGAGTATGCCTTTGTCTCTACTATTCAAAACTTGTCATATTTCTGGCATTTACGTTTAGGTCACATAAATAAAAATAAAATAATGCGTATGAGTAAAAATGGAATGTTGCCTCAAATAAATGCACATGATTTTGATACATGCGAATCATGTATTAAAGGAAAAATGACTAGACAATCATTTTCTCAGCATTGGATTTCTACAAATTTACTTGAAATAGTGCATACAGATTTATGTGGACCTATGAGAACAAAAACCCATAGAGGAATGAAATATTTTGCGACTTTCATCGATGATTATTCCCGTTATGGATATGCCTACTTCTTGCAGCATAAAAATGAAGCCTTAGAAAAATTTAAAGAGTTTAAGGCCGAAGTAGAGAACCAATTGGGAAGATCCATAAAGACCCTTAATAGTGATAGAGGTGGAGAATTTGAAGTCTTTGATGATTTCTGCAAAGAGAATGGTATAAGGCATAATTATACTATGCCTTATACACCGCAACAAAATGGTATTGTAGAAAGAAGAAATCGAACTCTAATGGATATGATGCGATCTATGATGTCTTATGCTGACTTACCTCTACATTTTTTGGGTGAAGCTTTGGCTACTGCAGCATATATATTGAATAAAGTTCATACAAAGGTCAAGCCACTAACTCCATATGAATTATGGCATGGGCGCAAACCCGATTTATCAAACTTAAAAGTTTGGGGTTGTAAAGCGCATGTCCTCATTCCAAAGCCATTAAGAAATAAATTACAAGCAAAGACTTTGGAATGTAAATTCATAGGATATCCTGATAATAGTATCGGATATAGGTTTTATCATCCTGAGAAAGGATTGATCGAAAGTAGAGATGCTACTTTTATTGAAACTACTGATTTGTTTAAACCAATACACAAATTGGAATCTTTGGAAGAAGAAAATTCTCCTACGGATGATCAAGATTTCCATCTTGATTTAGACTTGTCTCATGATGCTAACATTGACAATGATCAAGTGGGAGACATTAACATGGGTGATCATATCAATGTCGATCATGACATACACATGGATGATGATCATGATATTATCATGGAAGATATAAATAGTGGGAGAAATGATCAAATCAGTGGGAGTAAAAGAAAAAGGGAACCATCTAGAAGATTGAAATATCACTTTGTTTTCAATCTTGAGGAGGTAGATCATTCAATGGGAGATCCAGACCCACATAATTATAAAGAAGCAATGGATAGTTTTGAGTCTAAACAATGGCAACAAGCAATGAATGAAGAATTAGATTCCATAAAGAAAAATCAAGTTTGGGAATTGGTTGATCTACCTAATGAAAGAAAGCTCATCGGTTGTAAGTGGGTACTTCGTAAGAAGTACAAATCAGATGGTACCCTAGATAAGTTTAAGGCTCAACTTGTAGCTAAGGGTTGTACTCAGAAACCTGGTGTAGATTTTGTGGATACTTACTCTCCAGTTGCGAAGTTTACATCCATTCGTATTCTTAAGGCAATTGTTGCTAGAATGGATTTAGAACTTCATCAGTTAGATGTCAAAACATCATTCTTGAATGGAGATTTAAAGGAAGACATCTATATGATTCAACCCGAAGGATATCATGTCAAAGGACATGAAAACAAAGTCTATAAATTAAGAAAGTCGTTGTACGGCCTTAAACAATCATCAAGACAATGGTATTTAAAGTTCCACCAAGCCATTATGGAAATGGGTTACAAAATAAATCCATTGGATCATTGTGTTTACTCTTGGAAGTGCCAAGATAATTTCTATATGTTGTCATTATAGGTAGATGACATCTTACTTGCAGGAAACTCTATAGATATGATTGAAAAGACTAAGTCATATTTGGGATCCAAATTTGAAATGACAGATATGGGAGAAGCATCTTATGTTCTAGGAATTAAAATTACTAAGGATAGAGATGCCAAAACACTATATTTGGATCAACAAAATTATCTGGATAAAATATTTAAAAGATTTAATATGGAAGATTGCAAGCTAGTTAGTACACTTGTTTGTAAAGGAATGATGCTTACCAAAACTATGTGTCCGGTACAAAAGCAAGACATCATTGATATGAAAAATGTTCTGTATGCCCAAGCAGTTGGAAGTTGGATGTATGCTATGACCAGCACAAGACCTGACATATGTCATGCAGTTGGATTGGTAAGTAGATATCAATCCAACCATGAAAAGCAACATTGGATGGCAGTAAAGAGAATTATTAGATATCTAAAGGGCACCCAAGGTATGAAACTTTGTTTCGGATTAAATGATCTGGATTTAGTTTGTTATTGTAATGCAGATTTCGCAGGCGACTTGGATGATAGAAAGTCAACAAGTGGTAACATTGTCTTGTTTGGTGGAACGGCTGTTTCTTGGTTAAGTAAGAAACAAGGATGTGTTGCAAAGTCAACCATGGAAGCAGAATATAGATCTTGTAGCACAACAGTTAGTACTGCAGTATGGGCTAAACGATTTATCGATAATTTAAATATAGGTATACCTAAGGAGCACGTCAATGTGTTTTATGATAATAAGTCTGCCATTTTTCTGATACAGAGTGGAGCAAATAGTTCCAAAGGAAAACACATTGATGTTAAATATCACTATGTACAAGAT